CCTGACTCTCTGGCCCTGGGAGCGTTCTCCTTGATGTGTAATTTCTACTGCGATACGTTGTAAGTGGTGTTTTCCTCTTTACCAAGGTTTCTTTACTCGGTGCTTTTGCATTGTTGTTTTTCTTAAATGCTGTAGTTTGAAAGTTTTCATTTTTTCTTTTTGGTACCGTCGTCTGGGTTGTGGAAGGGCTAGGTCTCTCTTCAGTTCTCTGCTTCTTGGGTGGTGGAACAGTTGTCGTTATTTCTGGACCTTCTACTTCTTTTAGACTTGAGTCCTGCAAGAAACTTTTAAGGATTTCAAAATCATTTGGATTATAGTATTTTTTCACCTGGTCGGGACTTGCTTTACAGATTTCCCCTCTCTCGTTCTTAAGGTACAATACGACTCCTTTGATTTCCTGAATTACATAGGGGCCTTCAAATTTTGGAGCTAACTTTGCAGTAAAATTGTCTGGGGCACTTGATAAAGAAAATTTCCGCTTCAATACTTTATCCCCAACTTTAAAATCTGCTTCACGGCGTTTTCTATCGTAATACACTTTTTGCTTATTTCTTGCCGTATCCGAGCTTTTAAGCGCCTGATCAATAAGTTTTTGCACATCTTTCTGTTTAAACTCTTGCTCTCTTTGTTGCACAAAGAATAATTTAGCTAAAGGCGTAATTAACTTTCGGCCTAAAAATAATTCTGCTGGGAGTTTTCCCGTAGAATCGTGATTTGCCGTTCTTAAAGCATAAGCTAATTCATTTATGTAGCCATCCCAGCGCTTGTGATGTGTGCTAACGTAACTGCGAATTATTTTTACAATGTTTTTATTCACTCTTTCTGCTATGTTTGCCTGTGGTCTATACGGAACCATTTTGATATGGCGTATGCCAAGTCCAGTGCATATGTTTTCAAATATTTGACTAATGAATTGTTTTCCGTTATCGCTAATGACTTTTATCGGTGCACCGTATTTTAAAATGTATCTGTGTAAGAATGCATCTGCGACTGTTTTGGCTGACGCGCGTTTAAGTGGAACAATTTCTGTCCATTTTGAAAAATGATCTACTATTACTAAAAGAAAACGATTTTTATTTAACTCGCTCTGGGGGAAGGGACCAAGAAGATCTATGCCTAAAATTTCATTCGGAAATGTAGCGCGAATGCTATTTAAGTACCCCGGCCGGGCTGTAATTAATATCATTTATTATTAACTGACATTGATTGCAGGACCTGACATACGCAGTTACTATTTTGTATAATTGCGGGAAATATACCGCCTCGCGTACCCTTTTTAAAGTCTTTCTGACCCCTAAATGACCCGCTGTTTTCGCGTCGTGTAATTCCTTCAAAATGCTTAATCGAAGCGAGGCTGGGATGACTGGGTTTGTACTCGAGATTTTCGTTTGTTGTTTTCGTATAAAATAAAATTATCTATTATTTCATAGTTTTTGCTCTATTTCTTATCGCATCGATATCTGTGTGCTCAAAGCTTTCGGGGTCTTTCAAATATGCATAGATATTTCCAAATTCAGGATCAGCTTTCAGTTCAGTGATAATCGTATCTCTAGAATCTAAAATTTTTGAAGTCAACACAGCGCATTTAAGTTCATTTCCTTCATCGTCCAGTTTTATACGAGAAAGTGCGTCAGCTACATTGTTTTCCTTACCCGGTTTATATTTATTATGAGATTATATTCTTGGAGTTTTAAAGCCCATCTTATTAACCTGGGCGTTAGGTTTTTCCCCGAGTAAAGTCTACCAACAGCCGCATGATCCGAAAAGACTGTTACTGGCGCTTTGCCGAAATAAACTCGAAATTTGTGTACAGCCATTAATACGGCTAATGTTTCTCTCTCTGTAGCTGTATAATTCCTTTGTGTCTGATTCAACGTTTTACTAAAAAATGCCAGAGGATGGCTATTTTGCATAAGAACCGCACCCACCGCATAGTCTGACGCATCTGCTGCAATTTGCAGGTTTTCGTCCCCTTCCCGGAATTTTAAGACAGGGGCATTGATGAGCGCTTCTTTTAATCTTTCAAATGCGGTATTTGCTTCCGCTGTCCACGTAAATTTACTTCTCTTTCTTTTAATTACTAAGAGTGGTTCAACAATATTAGCGAAATCTTTTATGAAAGACCGATAGTAAGAACATAACCCAAGGAAAGAAGAAAGTTTCTTGGCGGTGTTGGGCGGTGGGAAATTCTTGATTGCTTTTATTTTTGAATCTTGCGTTTCTATACCCTTTTGCGAAATTTTATAACCGAGATATTTAAGTTCTTTAGTTGCGAACTTGCATTTTGAGGCGTTAATTGTAAGACCGGCCTCTTTTAATAATTTAAAAACTTCTTCTAGATCTTTAATGTGTTGTTCCAACGTACTACTCGTTATAATTATATCATCTAGATAGATTAAAGTTCGATTTTCCTAGGACAGAGGCTTTAGAACAATGTCCATAGCTCTCTGGAATGTTGATGGGGCCCCACACAACCCAAAGGGCATGCGTAAAAATGCATAAGTGCCCGATTTTGTTATAAACGGGGGTTTTATGTATGTCTTCGGGTCTCATAGCTATTTGATAGTAGCCAGACGTTAAGTCCAAAGTAGACATGTATCTGTAGATTTATTTGATCTTTCTAATAATTTCCTCTATAACCGGCAAAGGGTAAACTGGGAATTTAGTAATACTATTTAGTTTTCTGTAATCGATAGCAAACCTCCAAGCCCTTTTATCCGAAGGAGGAAAACTCGTTCTTTTTCCTACATAGTACGACTGGACTCGCGTACTCACTATTTATGGGCGTTATTATTTTATTCTTTAACATCTCCTGAATATGTTCTTCGATGATTACGTCTTTTTGTTTGTCATAACGATAATGGTTTAGTCCTCCTATAAGGTTTTTTCGGCAGTTAATTGTATCTGATGCGTAACTATTTGACAACTATCCAGGCTTTTCTGAAAACAAGTTGAGAAAAATTACTCACCACTTGCTGGATGGCTTGACTTTCATGGTCATTCAGATGGCTAAGGTCCACTTGCGGTTGTCTCCACAGGTTCCACCACCCTCTGGTCCATCTCCAGCACAACGGAACTGTCTTGAAAATTCAATTTGGCCCTCGCGGCCCTTAAAAACTCCATACCTAAAATAAGAGGATTTTGCAGATTCTTCACTACAAAAATTAATACTTTGAGGCTTTCCTCTTTTACCTGTATGTTTAATGATAATTTCCCGATGCAGTGACAGGTTTTTCCTTGCGCCGCTATAATTTCGGTGTTTTTGGTTTTAAATAATCGTACCCTATAAAAATTCTTTTTGAAGAATGTTTCGCTCATAAAATTTTCTTCTGCTCCTGTATCGATGAGGGCTTCTACTGGTACATCGCCAACCAGGACTTGTATAATTGGTAGATGTGAGTTTTTTACGATGACCGTATTTAAGTGTCTTTTTGAGGGTTTTTTTTAAGACTTCCGGGGTCTGGACCCTCGCTTTCACAGGCCCCTCTACTCGTTTAAAGCTTTCTTTCAACTCTGTGCCTTCTGGGTACGCGGATGTTGTTATTTTCGAATTTTCTTTTTGGGCCTTGACCTTCGAGGTTCGATGAGTTAGCTTGATAGCTCTTTCCCCCATAAGAGCGGTTTGCATTTCTGGTTTGCTCATTTGAAGATTTCCTTCGGGTACTTTGAGAATACGTTGCCCCTCTAGCTTTTTCCGCTATTCTGCGATTTTGAAACTTCACCGCCAATTCGAAGAGCTCCTGCAATGTGCTTGGGTTTCTAATTTCGAAGTAGTCTTGAACAGCAGGTAACAATCTTGGTAAGATTATTTCAATAATCTCCGCGTCGGGTTTTCTTCCCATACAGCATATCCGTCAGCTTAATTTTTCGTAGAATAAAGTCCGTCAACTCTTCTATATCCCGTTGATAGAAACTATATAGTTCGGCTTCCAGCCTTGCTCGATCTTTCACTATGGGGAAGGCCTTTACTAACTATTTTTTGAAATTTTCAAATGTATATGTCTGGCTTCCAAATTCCCCTAATAAAAATTTGCCTATATTCTTCCACCATAGCGCGGCCTGTCCTCTTAGTGCAGATGTGGCGATGGCAACTTTTTGTCTTTCAGGCACAGGGTAGAGCTGAAAGTGATTGTCGAGACTTTCTAGAAACATCGCCTAATAACTATTTCATATTCATCTTACGTAGTGGGAAAACCTCTAAAACATCCACGTGGCCTCTCGTTCGATGGTATTGAATTTCGCTTGAGTTACTAGTGTGAGGTGATTTTATTCATTCACCGACTGCTAGGCGTTGGCAAAAGCGGGATAATAAGCCATTGCTTTCAGTAGGAATGGCCATCCGAGTCTCCATATCTTAAATCGCGGAATTTTTTTAATGGCTTATCAGAAATCACGGGCTGTATGAAAGTGTTCATGGTTAATATCAACATTATTCATGGCGACTGGAAGAAATGTTATTCAAAGGTATATATATATATAATTCCTATACAGAAATGTTCTACTTGCTGTCCCCTCTCAGCTGGTCATCAGACACGGCTTGGTCATAACTATTGTTTCACTGGGGTTATGTATTTTTTAAATATTTTGTTCTCTTTTACAGGTAAGTGTATTAATATAAACTAAAAATTTTCTCAACGAAGTTTTTACAAAAATCTTGCGATTTTATTCATTATTGTGCTAATTGCTTTACACTTTTTGAGATTGGTATATACATTTTATTATACATTGAAATTAATATATACTATTAATATACACAATTTAGAATTATCAGATAAAGTATTAATTATATTTGACCATTTTTTCTAAATTGCGACAGCGCACTTTAGTGTAAAGAAGATTATAAATGTCAAATGATATTTGTTAAATTCTTTGTAATGAAGTCATCGAATTCAGATACAAGCAATAATTTTTTCATCAAAAGTTTAAAATAGTTCATGTTCAGCCTATAACTTCACAGAACTTCGCACTGTGTAAAATTAATAATATTAATTATCAAAATAATAACAATATTTCTATTAAATTTTAGGTCACGAACAAGTTGCAAAGGGAATACGACTTAAAGATAAAAGATCTACAAAACTCCCTAGAGCAGCTGAAAAAGCAATTGAAAACTAGCGAGGATACTATATCGAAGCTTGAGCGTGAGAAAACAGAACTCCAAAAGAAACAGCAAACTCTGTTGGACAAAGACAAGGAAGCGTTGGAGAAGACAGCCCAAGAACTATCCAAGATGAGAACCAAGTTATCCGAGATGCAAGCGTCTCAAGACGAAGTCAAAAATGAAAACAAAAAGCTCAAGCAGGATCTGAAAGAGAGCAAGCAAGAATTGAATAAAGCCAAGCAAGAGTTAGCTAAGAAACAAGAAAGTGAAAAACCAAAAATGAACGTGGAAATGTTAAAGCAAAAGCTAGCACAATCAGAAGCTTTGTGCGAAGAGCTTATGGAAGAAAACGAAGAAATTAAGAAAGAAGTAAGTGGTTTTTTTTTTTTTAAAAAATAATTTTACTGGAAATTTGTAGTGCTGTTCTTCAACAAAAGCGTCAGAAAATTCTTTAAAAATGGTTTAGAATTCTTAGAACTTATTGCGCTTTACTTTATTTGCCATTAAAACATTTGAAAGTAAAGAAGAGTATTTCCTTGATATTCTGGAGCATTTTTAATTATGATTTGCTTAAGATTTTAAAGGCTAGAGTATAAAGGTATTAAAGAACTTCTTAATGAAATAAAATGCATAATAATTAAAAACAAAACCGGATAAATTTTAAAACCCATTTATTAAAAGAAAAAAAAAAAAAAAAAAAAAAAAAAAAAAATCTGAAAGACTATTTTAGACATCGCCCAAAAGGATTTGTTAAGGTATTTTATGCTCTTTCTGAGCTCGCAGTCTACCAGTCGTCTGCTGCTGCACTCAGTGCTACCACCTTTGTTATTAAGCACCATTTTCTTCGTATTTACGCCATATACAATTCAACCCAAAATTATATAAAAAAATTAACAGCAGCATGGCTACATATGTTTAGAATTTCCGATTCAGTGTTAAGTATTGGTGTAGGTTTTTCTCGTTTTTTTCTGTCTTTTCTCAGTTCATCATATCAATGTTCAGTTTTCTTAGTAAAATGGCTCACAAAACTCTGTGTGGCTTTGTACTATTAACGTTTTGGGGTGTTAACTTTATTTATCAAAAATCGCGTTCTTCGCACTTCCGTCACTAAACTTCCGTTCAAGAATGAAATCACAAAATATTTAAAAACAGCATATCTTTAGAATTTCCGACAGACAATCTAGCGCTTTGGAGATAATTTTTTTCCGTACAGTTTTGCCACTGCTCGCTTTCAGATCGTTGAGTCTGTAAATGAAGAATTCATTAAAGGTTTACAAAATGTGAAATATAAAATTCGATTCAAAATTCGGGGTTCCAGGTGACCATGTTCGGTTGGAGGACAATGTTATTTAAAATTTAATAGCTCTAGGTACCTTGTTTTTTCACAATGCGAGAAATACATAATGCATAAAATCACACTGCATACATTCCTGCAGATTCTTCGTTATTTAATTTCTTTAGAGATAATACAGGGCGATAGTATTTGGTGGCAGCAATTTGAAAAGTGTTTTGCCGTTTATAGCGGAAGGTGCAAAATAGGGTTTCGAGACTAATAGCCCCTGCGATCTAACGTCCTTTTGGGATAAAAATTAAATCTGAAGAATTAGGAGTTACTTATCCAAATTATCTTATAGATGTGAGCCCAAAATAATTAAAACAACAGCGAAACCTCGGTTCAGGAATTTAATTTCATTCTCGAAGGCCATTCACCAACCAAAATGTTCATAAACCGGGGAAATTTTTCCAATAAGAACTAATGTAAAATTGAGCAATTCATTCTTAGACTACACACGATTGATTATTTAAACTTCACAACAGTATATGCAAGTTCGTAAGCCCAAACCAATGGAAATCAACAATAAAATGAAAAGGACAATCACAATAATTAACAGATAAAACCATTAATTATCTGTACGAAGAAGAGTAGACGGCATAAGCAGAAAATAATGAGCAGAATATTATTGTTTGGGTGCGAAATTTCCTTCCATATAAATATTAGTTATCTGTGTTTAAGATGTATCTTCTTTTATCTTTTCTTTGTCGTTAGCACTCAACTCTACTTGAGACATATTGGTTTCCATAGGACTCACAATTTATCGTGATTTGTTGTTACTTACGTTTTGCGCAATGGTGGAAATGGATTGTGACATGGCATTATTACTGAAAATGGTTTTGCTGTAGCTTGCTACTGCTTTAGCAAAGTGATATTGTTTAGTGAAAAGTTTGTATCACACACCATTGAACACGAGGTTCACAATTGCAGTTCGGATATTTTGCAGATTTCTACAGAATACCATCTTATAAAGATTTCATAAAATTTCTACGTGATTTTCCAAAGCAATTTTTCTAAACAATACAGTTTTTCGATTGCTTATAAAATTTCTCTAGAATTTTATAGAGAAGCATTTGTATAAATGGTTACCTGTGAAGCTCTACAGGAATTTTTATAGAGCTCTATCATAATCCATAAAAGTTTCGTAAGCGGAGAAAGGCTAACTTATTAGCATTACAGAACTAGTTGAACAGAATCACAATGAAGCCAAGACTGAAGCTTCTTTTAGCGAGGAGAAAGACGTAGAGGTTTTGTGCTTTTTGCAGTCATCAACGACCTTCTGAAGAAGTGGTAAAAGATCTAAGCCATAGCAAACAATGGTATCCATTCAAGGTGGATGAATAAAGTAGACGATTTTTTCATTGACAATGCCATGGACTTCTTTAAGCTTATATAATTAAAGATAAAATGATAGGAAACATGTTTAAATCATTATAAAAGAACATTAACAAAAATTTTAAAATTTATAAAATGACATACAAGGATTGCTTGAGTTAAATCACTTAAATTCATGCTTAAAAATTTTGATTTAATAACTATCATTGTCCGTTACATTTATTGCCCTCAAATTTCCTTTTAACAGTTTTGATTTTAAATCCATTATTATCCGCAGGCCCACCAGCGGCCGAACGGTAAAGTAGATGAACACTGGTAGTTTGGTCCGAGGTTCGAATCCCGCGAACGGGCATGGCTGCATGGGTGTTTTTGTGGTTTTTCACATGTGTAACGTGTATACGAGCCAGTTTCCCTTAGAAAGTCTTCCACGAAGGCATCCCTCCCCTTAAGCTAGATAGCCCTAGTGTGCTTTGCCATAATTAAGTACACCACCACCATTATTATCCGCAATATTTAATCCACTTAAATTTTTTTAACAATTTTGATTTTAAATCCGTTAATATTCGTCATATTCAATTCACTCAAATTTCTCTGCAAATGTTTTGATTTTGAATGTATTCATAGTATTTAATTCACTTAAATTTATTTTCAACAATTTTAATTTAAAATTTGTGATTGTTCTTTACGTTTAATTCACTCAAATTTCTCTTTAAAACAATTTTGATTTAAAATCTATCATTGTCCGTTATATTTAATTCTCTGTAATTGTTTTTATTTTAAATCTATTATTATTCGTGATATTTCATTCACTTAAACATTTTTTCAACAATTTTGATTTAAAATCCATCATTGTTCGTTTTGGTAACTTGAATTTCTCAAAATTTTTGATTTAATATGCATCATTATTCGGTATAATTAATTCACTTAAATTTCTCTTCAATAATTTTTATCTAAAACCCATCATTCTTTCTTACATTTAATTCAAATTTCTCTTCAAAAACTTTGATTTACATTTTATGATTGTTCGTTATATTGAATAACTAGTCGCTACGCGGCCAGCCTTCGTCTGGCTTTTAAATGTACCAAAAAAATGCCGAAAGGTTACAACAAACATTAAATTTAAAGACTGCACAGTTTTAGTCTGCAGAACAATTTTATCAAAAACCAAACAAAAACAACAAAATTCAATAAAAATGTATTATATATAAAAACATTGCAATGAAATAAGCAGTATCCCTTAATACAAGCACTAATTATCCTAATAAATAAGTTAACCAACTTCTCGTTGCAAAATCTTAAGAATTCAAATGGTATAAAGGAAGCTAAAAACTTTGTTTCCTAAAAAACAAAAATGCAAAACTTTTCAATATCTTAAAAAGAGTGAAATACGCAATAAATAACATAAAAGAAACAAAACATTTTTGAAAACAAAAGTGTAATTAGTAATATTTTTATCTCATATTTTGAACAGTCAGCAATCCAGTATATAAAGCATTGAAGGAAAAACTGTTGCCAAAACCTCATTCCTAAAAGAATGAAACTATTCAAAATGATGCGACTTCATCTAAAAAGATAAAATAAAAAAAATTGATTCGAATTTTGAAAAACTTTGAGGTGCACTGACTTTTGTCTAGATGCCCCTATGTACCAAACCTCGTAGCCCTGGGTCTATTAGCTTACGCGCAGCATGACCGAAAGACACACACAGACAGACTCTTTCTTTTATCGTATGTAGAGATTTAGACTTCTTTCTAACAAACTGATTTAAAATCTAAAATTGTTAGCACAAGCACAATTTTTAGTTACACATGACCAAGAATATTTTGAAGGTTAAAATTCTTTTGTGCTTGTAATCATGTATTTTTATTTTTTCATATCTCAACAACAATCAGCCATTTTAATCACGTTTGTAAGAAACTAGTAGTTAAGCAGCTGAACTTACACTGCACTAGATGTAGCAGAACGTTACTTAGCAAACATTACAAAGCTTGTTCGCCGTATTCTGACCTAAAACTTGGTTGACTATGACATCTTCAGTGCCGTGATGGATGGCATATCTGAACTGGAGCCAACAGTGAACATTGCGGGCGGGCTGCTTTAGCTTAACAGACTTTCTATGCTTCTACCAGATGGTGGGAGGATGAAATCATTTATGAATCATTGCAACAACCCAGTGCTCAAACCCAAGAATTATGACGTTGAAGATGTACGTGTCGACTCGATATGATACGAGAGTTTTCATTGCAATCGTAGAGGCAGAGATAATCTAAGAATTTGTAACAAAGTTAGTTAGTTTCGAAACAAAGTTAGAAAAAGACAGCAGCAGGCGATTTTACACTTCTCTCAGCTAACAAGATGGGATGCTTCGAGCATAAATTTCTCTGTAGCGGGTGCTTCTGTAATAGGAGTTATAGAGTTTGAACCGTTCGTCAAGCATAGTAAAAGCTATGCTGCTGGACAGGGTGGAGCGCTATGTATATTTATCCAGTCTGTGATATGTTTACGATCTGTCATAGAAAATAATGTTGTTTGGAGTTAGAAGTGTAATGGTGTATTTAATATTTCTGAGTTAAAATAACACGTCGAATAGCAAATTTTGGAGAAATGAAAGCAACGAGAATCAGCGTGATATTCATTAATTTGCAGAAAATCTACGAAATGAAGGAAATGCAGGAAAAGAAATTTTTAGAAACTAAGTATC